GGGCAACGAGCGTCTCGAAATCCGGGTGAGACTTACTGGGTGCTGCATGATATTTAGTTCTTCCGGTACAAGGTCGGTATGATCCAACCCCCCGATCTTGTCAATGATAAATAACGCACATACATAACAAAAGTAGTCTTATGGCTGAGACTACGGGTTATAACTTAAACAGTACGGATCTCAACGTTATCAGTGGGTGTAGCGGTGTACGGATATTAGTGGGTGTAGCCGACTACGAAATCACCACGTTAATAGTGGGTGTAGCGGTGTAAGGGTATCAGTGGGTGTAGCGGTGTACCGATCTCCACGTTATTAGCGAGTGTAGCGGCGTAAGGATATCAGTGGGTGTAGCGGTGTAAGGGTATCAGTGGGTGTAGCGGTGTAAGGGTATCAGTGGGTGAAGCAGTGTAAGGATATTAGTGGTTGAAGCAGTGTATGGGTTTCCAAGTTATTAGTGGGTGTAGCGGTGTCTGGATATTAGTGGGTGTAGAGGTGTGCGGATCTCCATGTTATTAGTGGGTGTAGCTGTGGATGGATATCAGTGGGTGTAGAGGTGTGCGGATCTCCATGTTATTAGTGGGTGTAGCGGTGGATGGATATCAGTGGGTGTAGCGGTGAACGGATGTCAGTGGGTGTAGCGGTGTACTGATATCAGTCGGTGTAGTGGGCTACGGATTTCCACGTCAATAGTGAGTGTAGCGGTGTACTGATATCAGTTGGTGTAGTGGGCTATGGATTTCCATGTGAATAGTGGGTGAAGCGGTGTATGGATATCAGTGGGTGTAGCGGTGTACTGATATCAGTGGGTGTATCGGTGTACTGCTATCAGTCGGTGTAGTGGGCTACGGATTTCCACGTTAATAGTGAGTGTAGCGGTGTACAGATATCAGTGGGTGTAGTGGTGTACTGATATCAGTTGGTGTAGTGGACTATGGATCTCCACGTCAATAGTGGGTGTAGCGGTGTACGGATATCAGTGGATGTAGTGGTGTACTGCTATCAGTCGGTGTAGTGGGCTACGGATTTCCACGTTAATAGTGAGTGTAGCAGTTTACGGATATCAGTGGGTGTAGCGTTGTACTGATATCTGTTGGTGTAGTGGACTACGGATCTCCACGTCAATAGTGGGTGTAGCGGTGTACGGATATCAGTGGATGTAGTGGTGTACTGCTATCAGTCGGTGTAGTGGGCTACGGATTTCCACGTTAATAGTGAGTGTAGCGGTGTACGGATATCAGTGGATGTAGTGGTGTACTGATATCAGCTGGTGTAGTGGACTATGGATCTCCACGTTAATAGTGAGTGTAGCGGTGTACGGATATCAGTGGATGTAGTGGTGTACTGATATCAGTTGGTGTAGTGGACTATGGATCTCCACGTCAATAGTGGGTGTAGCGGTGTACGGATATCAGTGGATGTAGTGGTGTACTGCTATCAGTCGGTGTAGTGGGCTACGGATTTCCACGTTAATAGTGAGTGTAGCGGTGTACGGATATCAGTGGATGTAGTGGTGTACTGATATCAGTTGGTGTAGTGGACTATGGATCTCCACGTTAATAGTGAGTTTAGCGGTGTACGGATATCAGTGGATGTAGTGGTGTACTGATATCAGTTGGTGTAGTGGACTATGGATCTCCACATCAATAGTGAGTGTAGCGGTGTACGGATATCAGTGGATGTAGTGGTGTACTGATATCAGTTGGTGTAGTGGACTATGGATCTCCACGTCAATAGTGGGTTTAGTGGCGTACAGATATTAGTGGGTATAGTGGTGTAAGGATCTCCACGTTATTAGCGAGTGTAGCGGTGTAAGGGTATCAGTGGGTGTTGCGGTGTACGTATCTCCACGTTAATAGAGGGTGTAGCGGTGTACGGGTATCAGTGGGTGTACCGGACTACGGATCTCAACGTTATTAGCGAGTGTAGCGGTGTACGGATCTCCAAGCTATAAGTGGGTGTAGCGGTGTACAGATCTCCACTTTATTAGTGGGTGTAGAGGTGTGTGGATCTCCACCTTATTAGCGAGTGTAGCGGTGTACGGGTATCAGTGGGTGTACCGAACTACGGATCTCCACGTTACTAGCGAGTATAGCGATGAAAGGATATTAGTGTGTGTAACGGTGTAAGGATATTAGTGGGTGTAGCGGACCATGGATCCCAACGTTATTAGCGAGTGTAGCAGTGTACGGGTATCAGTGGGTGTATCGAACTACGGATCTCCGCGTTATTAGCGAGTGTAGCGGTGTACGGGTATCAGTGGGTGTAGCGGACTACGGATCTCAACGTTATTAGCGAGTGTAGCGGTGTACTGATATCAGTGGGTGTAGCGGCTACGGATCTCCAAGTTATTAGCGAGTGTAGCGGTGTACGGGTATCAGTGGGTGTAGCGGACTACGGATCTCAACGTTATTAGCGAGTGTAGCGGTGTACGGGTATCAGTGGGTGTAGCGGACTACGGATCTCCACGTTATTAGCGAGTGTAGCGGTGTAAGGATATCAGTGCGTGTAGCGGTGTAAGGATATTAGTAGGTGCAGCGGACTAAGGATCTCCACGTTATTAATGAAGATAGACATTAAAATTGTTTTGAGCCGTAATTAATTATGGACTAATTAACCTTGGCAGTCTGAGATAATCCGTAGGTCGGATAATGTATTTAACTTAACCCTCACTTTGATTTATGTCGTTGTTCTTGCCAATATCGAGCTCTGAATTACCTGTGATATAGGACGCGCGAGACAGCTGTGACAAACTATAAACAAATGTGACACTGATCTGAGTTCCGTCAGTGCAGTACATGTATCTAAGTTAAAGTACAATCTGGTTGACGTTGTTGTCGGCTCTCTTTGATACTATACATTTTGTTACAGATACTAAAATATTTTGAAATAGGCATCTATGATATTGCTAAAAAATACCGAATCAGTATTATTTTATAAAACTTAGAAATATAGTCACTGTATGTTCATTTTTGTCACTCAAAACCTCCAATTCAGTTCAAACAGGTTCAAAATTTCTTTGGAGACTGTAACAGATTCTCTGATTGTATTCATGTGAAAAGAAGCAGCCCCTTCAAGGCTTCATATGAGGAGACTTTGGTGAGATGTAACATGAACTGCCCGACATACTATGAATATTGAACATACGCACGCACGCACGCACGCACGCACGCATATATGAGAAGATTGTAAACTATTATAAAACTTTCAATCATTTACTGGCAAACGTAATCACATAAATTATAATCCTATGAAGTTGATAATAATAATTCAAATCAATTTATTGTTTGCTGCAACTCCAAGTCACATTAATATGATTTACATGGAAGACGAGGTACATATATACACACTGAATAAGTCATGGCGCTATATCAACGAGGTATACCAACTAGTTTGTTGCCCTTGCTATATTTTGTTTTCAAATATTTTATATCTATTACAAGGATAAGGTTGAAAGTGATTATCAGTAGCATAGCAAATAAAACCTATTTGAAGACACGCCCTGGTGATACACTCCTGTCATATCCATTCTACAGAACAGAATCAGCTGTATAATGTGTCATGAATTCCCTGTGACTGCGATAAATATATATGCATCTGTGTTTCTCAACCAGAATGGGTGTTATTCTTCATCAATAATCAATAGTCAGATTTTGAGTTTACAATATTAGATGACAGAGCAAGAGAATTTGTGATGCAACACTCATCTGTGGATTCATATTGATATGAGGTGAGACATTGTACAGCCATTGTTGTAGATTCATATTGGTATGAGGTGAGAACTTGTACAGCCAGTTGGTGTGGATTCATATTGATAAGAGGTGAGACATTGTACAGCCAGTTGGTGTGGATTCATATTGATAAGAGGTGAGACATTGTACAGCCAGTTGGTGTGGATTCATATTGATAAGAGGTGAGACATTGTACAGCCAGTTGGTGTGGATTCATATTGATAAGAGGTGAGACATTGTACAGCCAGTTGGTGTGGATTCATATTGATATAAGGTGAGACATTGTACAGCCAGTTGGTGTGGATTCACATTGATATAAGGTGAGACATTGTACAGCCAGTTGGTGTGGATTCATATTGATATAAGGTGAGAAATTGTACAGCCAGTTGGTGTGGATTCGGGACTGAATATCGCCCTAATATCGGCAGGTCTAGATATATCTCCGGTGACATGGTGTGATGAAGCCCAATCACATGTTCCACATGCTGCGATTAATTCATCACAAATGAACTGTTAACAATCAAGAAGAGATTAGAAACAATTTACTGCTGTTTTCTTTGAAAAAGTTCTTTATTTTTTATTCCAATGAAAAAATATACCTAAATCTATGTCTTTCGCGTTATTGGTATAAAATACCTGTCCATGGATGTATGATAAATGACACTGACTGATCCGTGCCCTGTCTGCCCTGACTGGCCCCAAGGAGTGTGACTCAATGGCGACTTCCTCATTTGATGATATGATTTACATCAGACATGTACTTCAGTTTCACCACATGTAATTATACAGCTAAATTATAACCTCAAACACAATATTCAACCCTTCTCTTTAGATCGTGTAGACAGTCAACCTGTAAACCAAAATATCCCAAGCCATATCCGTCGTTGACACCAAAATGTTTCGCCCACGGCGACGCCATGGAGATTCGCACGTGGTCGTCCCCTGTACATATCACACACGAAGGAGGACGCCAGGAGGCGGGCCTTACGGGCCGGGACTCGATCGATGTTTTCAAAGTAATCACGCCTACAGGCCATAAAGGAAACTCTGGACAATACCAGGAACATGCAACGGAATTGAAGGGTCCTCATATAGGCTTTTTACATCGCCTGGGATCCCCTGAACAGACAATGTTTTTTGAAAATGTGTAGATTATCATGCGTTTGCAGTTAGCGCTCAAGCATAGTTGCATAACCAGGTGACAACACATGTGACACCACGAGCAGTCCGTCAAGACTCTACCAATATATATAGATACGTGAGCAATGCCAATTCAGTACATACATGTTATTCCCAGATCACATATGATATGGTCAGGTGTTTGTCACTATCAAGGCCTGTTGGTAGGGCATCAACCTAGACGTCAGTGTAGACATGTACCTTCACTTGCCTGGAGCAGGCAATATACGCCTCCACTCTGTTATGTGTAGAACCATCTCGACTTTTGTGACCAATTTCCTGTGATGTGTGTTTACTTTCATGATGTACAGAAAGTAAAATAAATCAATAATCAATAACGATGCTGATCAGCCAGTAAACAACAATAACGGAACTGTGTAAACGTGCGTGTATTTGTTCACGGAACGTGATCAGCACCTAGCACGTCATGGTACCAACACATCAACACTGACCAATTACCTACGAATATGCACGTTTGCATGACAATATACAATGAATGACCATGTTTTCTAGCATTCAGTTCCACAACTGGTACGCGTGTGTGCGTGTGTAGGTGCGGGCGTTGGGGGTTGGGGAGGGGATGCACAGAACTTGGCGATGTCTTATGGCGAGATTTAGTTAATATTCATCAGCGATAACTGGCTTAACTAAAGTCCCTTGAACACAGTGGGCAGGAATCAAGATAAATGACATCTTGTTACTGTTGATAAGATGCCACAATAAAAAGTCTACTGTTCACTTGAGTGGAAGGTTGGATAAACGTTAGTGGACGGGTCGCTGTAACCGACACAGCAGTTGTTCCGACTCTCGCCCAATCTTGTGCGTCACTGGATAACGCTTATGCGGAACTCGGTAATTCCTGGACTGTAGTCGTATTGGCATGAGGTGGTCCTTCACAAATACACCAAAGTCAGCGGGTTTCCTTGGGATTCCTTGGGAAACTGAAACAATCCAAACATATAAGCGTTATATTTCACGCATTACCGATACAGGGCATTGAATGAGACAACATACATTACCGATATAGGGCATTGAATGAGACAACATACATTACCGATATAGGGCATTGAATGAGACAACATACATTACCGATATAGGGCACTGAATGAGACAATATACATTACCAATATAGGGCATTGAATGAGACAACATACATTACCGATATAGGGCATTGAATGAGACAATATACATTATCAATATAGGGCATTGAATGAGACAATGTACATTATCAATATAGGGCATTGAATGAGACAATGTACATTACCGATATAGGGCATTGAATGAGACAACATACATTACCGATATAGGGCACTGAATGAGACAATATACATTACCAATATAGGGCATTGAATGAGACAATGTACATTACCGATATAGGGCATTGAATGAGACAATATACATTACCGATATAGGGCACTGAATGAGACAATGTACATTACCGATATAGGGCATTGAATGAGACAATATACATTACCGATATAGGGCATTGAATGAGACAATATACATTACCGATATAGGGCATTGAATGAGACAATATACATTATCAATATAGGGCATTGAATGAGACAATGTACATTACAGACACAGGGCATTGAATGAGACAACATACATTAATGACATAGGGCATTGAATGAGACAATATACATTAATGATATAGGAAACTGAATGAGACAATGTACATTACAGACACAGGGCATTGAATGAGACAATATACATTAATGATATAGGGTACTGAATGAGACAATATACATTAATGATATAGGGCACTGAATGAGACAATATACATTAATGATATAGGGAATTGAATGAGACAATATACATTAATGATATAGGGCACTGAATGAGACAATATACATTAATGATATAGGGAATTGAATGAGACAATATACATTAATGATATAGGGAACTGAATGAGACAATGTACAACAATAATATAGGGAATTGAATGAGACAATATACATTAATGATATAGGGCACTGAACGAGACAATATACATTAATGATATAGGGAATTGAATGAGACAATATACATTAATGATATAGGGCACTGAATGAGACAATATACATTAATGATATAGGGAATTGAATGAGACAATATACATTAATGATATAGGGCACTGAATGAGACAATATACATTAATGATATAGGGAATTGAATGAGACAATATACATTAATGATATGGGGCACTGAATGAGACAATATACATTAATGATATAGGGAATTGAATGAGACAATATACATTAATGATATAGGGAACTGAATGAGACAATATACATTAATGATATAGGAATGAATTGAATGAGACAATATACATTAATGATATAGGGCACTGAATGAGACAATATACATTAATGATATAGGGAATTGAATGAGACAATATACATTAATGATATAGGGCACTGAATGAGACAATATACATTAATGATATAGGGAATTGAATGAGACAATATACATTAATGATATAGGGAATTGAATGAGACAATATACATTAATGATATAGGGAATTGAATGAGACAATATACATTAATGATATATGGAACTGAATGAGACAATATACATTAATGATATAGGGAACTGAATGAGACAATATACATTAATGATATAGGGAACTGAATGAGACAATATACATTAATGATATAGGGAACTGAATGAGACAATATACATTAATGATATAGGGCACTGAATGAGACAATATACATTAATGATATAGGGAACTGAATGAGACAATATACATTAATGATATAGGGATTTGAATGAGACAATATACATTAATGATATAGGGCAACTGAATGAGACAATATACATTAATGATATAGGGAATTGAATGAGACAATATACATTAATGATATAGGGAACTGAATGAGACAATATACATTAATGATATAGGGAACTGAATGAGATATAATAATGAGACAATATATTAATGATATAGGGAACTGAATGAGACAATATACATTAATGATATAGGGAACTGAATGAGACAATATACATTAATGATATAGGGAACTGAATGAGACAATATACATTAATGATATAGGGAACTGAATGAGACAATATACATTAATGATATAGGGAACTGAATGAGACAATATACATTAATGATATAGGGAACTGAATGAGACAATATACATTAATGATATAGGGGAATACATGAATGAGACAATATACATTAATGATATAGGAACTGAATGAACTGAATAGGGCATGTGAATGACACATATACATTAATGATATAGGGAACTGAATGAGACAATATACATTAATGATATAGGGAACTGAATGAGACAATATACATTAATGATATAGGGCACTGAATGAGACAATATACATTAATGATATAGGGAACTGAATGACAATATACATTAATGATATAGGAACTGAACACAATATATGATATGATATAGGGATATAGACTGAATGAGACAATATACATTAATGATATAGGGAACTGAATGAGACAATATACATTAATGATATAGGGAACTGAATGAGACAATATACATTAATGATATAGGGCACTGAATGAGACAATATACATTAATGATATAGGGAACTGAATGAGACAATATACATTAATGATATAGGGAACTGAATGAGACAATATACATTAATGATATAGGGAACTGAATGAGACAATATACATTAATGATATAGGGAATTGAATGAGACAATATACATTAATGATATAGGGAATTGAATGAGACAATATACATTAATGATATAGGGGAACTGAATGAGACAATATACATTAATGATATAGGAACTGAATGAGACAATATACATTAATGATATAGGGAACTGAATGAGACAATATACATTAATGATATAGGGAACTGAATGAGACAATATACATTAATGATATAGGGAACTGAATGAGACAATATACATTAATGATATAGGGAACTGAATGAGACAATATACATTAATGATATAGGAACTTGAATGAGACAATATACATTAATGATATAGGGAACTGAATGAGACAATATACATTAATGATATAGGGAACTGAATGAGACAATATACATTAATGATATAGGGAACTGAATGAGACAATATACATTAATGATATAGGGAATTGAATGAGACAATATACATTAATGATATAGGGAACTGAATGAGACAAATATACATTAATGATATAGGGGAACTGAATGAGACAATATACATTAATGATATAGGGGAACTGAATGAGACAATATACATTAATGATATAGGGCACTGAATGAGACAATATACATTAATGATATAGGGAACTGAATGAGACAATATACATTAATGATATAGGGATGTGAATGAGACAATATACATTAATGATATAGGGAACTGAATGAGACAATATACATTAATGATATAGGGAACTGAATGAGACAATATACATTAATGATATAGGGAATTGAATGAGACAATATACATTAATGATATAGGGAACTGAATGAGACAATATACATTAATGATATAGGGAACTGAATGAGACTATATACATTAATGATATAGGGCACTGAATGAGACAATATACATTAATGATATAGGGAATTGAATGAGACAATATACATTAATGATATAGGGAATTGAATGAGACAATATACATTAAAGATATAGGGTACTGAATGAGACAATATACATTAATGATATAGGGAACTGAATGAGACAATATACATTAATGATATAGGGAACTGAATGAGACAATATACATTAATGATATAGGGAATTGAATGAGACAATATACATTAATGATATAGGGAACTGAATGAGACAATATACATTAATGATATAGGGCACTGAACGAGACAATATACATTAATGATATAGGGAACTGAATGAGACAATATACATTAATGATATAGGGAATTGAATGAGACAATATACATTAATGATATAGGGAATTGAATGAGACAATGCACATAACCTACGGATACTAAATCAAGGTACTGTAGCGAAAGGCGTGTAGTTGGGAAGGTATTCTAACCATGGCTGGCGTCGTCCCACCACACCAGTGGTCAGAACAAAGGTCCAAGCTGCAAACAAAAGCACTGAGCTCCACACCTGGGCAGCCAACCACGACTACTTTGTGACACATGGACAAGAGTGTTATATATATAGAATATACACAGGGAAATTCAGATAGGTTATGCTTCACTGACCTTTTGTTGGTCTACATCTGTTTTAGAGGTATAGTGTGCTGTTTAGACGGATCTACACCCGTTATCAGTGGCTTATCTGATCAATATGCCCACAGTTGTATCTATGTTGCTGGAAAACGTGAACTGTAGTGCAGCCCTACCTCAACAGGGCAGAACCTTCCTTAACGTCATTCTCATTACTGTATGCATAGAACAGCCGAAACTGATACCAATATATAGCGGCTACGATTGCTGCCAAATGTACTTCTGCTTGAACGTTCTGAATAAAATAGCTTATAAAAGACTTTGCGTTATGTATCACAGATTTAGACTTCACCATTGTGAATACAGATGTTTCGCCTTTTTAACAAGACCAGTTTTCACATAACTACGTGTAGCAGTTATATCTTTCAGCAACATTTGGACGTCACTCGCTAATCAGTCTGTGTCCCTTTCTGTCTATTTGGTTAATGTCAGATCATATGTTACTGGCTCTAATACTCCCATATATACTTATCATTCGAACATGAACAGAATGACAACAATCATGAAACATATCTACTCAAGGAGCTCATGTTATATTACAGGGCATATTGTTGTTGGTGTACCTAGACTCTCTATAAAACAATGAGATGATGAGGGATGTCAGATGGTATAAGTGTCTTTACAGGCACCTGTTCAATTTAAATAGCATCTTGTCAAACACGCTGTATTGGCGACCAAGTCTTTTTTGGCTTCGAGAGAAGTCCTTGAGAGTTGGTTGTAGTTATTTGATATGTGTATATTATTCAACAGAAGATAATGAAACCTCCACCTTCCTACTCATAAATCTGGATACGACAAACTACTGAAACGATTCTCCTTGAGGTGATGAAGCGATATGTGACGAGGATGTGTCATCTTTAGGCGAAACCCTTAGTTTTAAAGGTATAGGAAAGGAAGAGTTGGCACTAACGCGTATTGATAAAGTTTTTAAAAATAATGCTGTTGTTTAATGAAAAAACACCATACACCATAAACCTACGTTGCTATGGGAACAGTGTCTTCCCGATATGTAATACAGAAGCTATCAGGTATCTATGAAGTCAGGAACAAGCGCCAATGGCAGGGATGCTCTAGGCTGCGCTCCACACCAATAAACCTGGGATAAAGAGATCCTTCCTCAAACCCGGTTACCATGACAACGAGGTTAGTTTCAACACATGTCAGGTGCTAGAGTTATGTTGTATGGAAACAGTATACATGTATTAGTAAGGACGCCAGGACAACTCTGTACTGTATGTTGTTGAGTAGAGTCCACACTTGTACAACAGGGTATGTAGTACAGACCAAACCGACAGACGTATTCCTTCGCACAGGGAATTCTAGATTTTTCAAACCAACTGCGTCTGAATCATCGTTTGAAAGAAATGCGCTAAAGAAATGTGTGAGACGATTGTGGCAAACATTAATTCGGTACGCTAAACGTTAATAAACAGTCAACATATAAATCAGTCTGCTTAATGTCCGTATTCAGCATGCAAGGTGAAATAACTTAGCATAATGAAGTGTAAATTTTATTCACATATGAGGTGTCCTAAAAGCGGTCGACACTTTTGTCATAGGAATACATTATAAAACGACCATCAAAAGTGTCTGTGCTGTAGGGAGCAGCACTCAATATGTAACTTACAAATGTGTAATTCACACACAACTGATGCACGTTGTTGATAGATCTGTCCTTTACTGAATAACGGTGTTATTCAATACCAACAACAGATTAATCCCCCGAATGTCACACAGCACAATACCAACAACAGATTAACCCCATGAATGTCACACAGCACAATACCAACAACAGATTAACCCCCTGAATGTCACACAACACAATACCAACAACAGATTAACCCCCTGAATGTCACACAGCACAATTCCAACAACAGATTAACCCCCTGAATGTCACACAGCACAATACCAACAACAGATTAACCCCCCGAATGTCACACATCACAATACCAACAACAGCTTAACCCCCCAAATGTCACACAGCACAATACCAACAACAGATTAACCCCCCGAATGTCACACAGCACAATACCAACAACAGCTTAACCCCCTGAATGTCACACATCACAATACCAACAATAGATTAACCCCCCGAATGTCACACAGCACAATACCAACAACAGATTAACCCCATGAATGTCACACATCACAATACCAACAACAGATTAACCCCCCGAATGTCACACAGCACAATACCAACAACAGATTAACCCCATGAATGTCACACATCACAATACCAACAACAGATTAACCCCCCGAATGTCACACAGCACAATACCAACAACAGATTAACCTCCTGAATGTCACACATCACAATACCAACAACAGATTAACCCCCTGAATGTCACACATCACAATTCCAACAACAGATTAACCCCCTGAATGTCACACATCACAATGCCAACAACAGATTAACCCCCTGAATGTCACACGCCACAATATCAACAGGGAATAGTAATTATCCTGCCTGGATGTTGTTTCAACAGGATGAAGTTGGCCACCTGTTTGACAACGATGTAGATGACCTACTTTACCAAGCACTGCCTGGTGACAGCAGGAGACACGACCACGTCCTGGGTTACAGTATATATCTCACGTACAGAGTGAGTCATGATTGGTAGCTTCTACACCTGCACAGAGAGGTTGAGAGGTTGACATCTGTTCTTGGTCACTGATTTATGTTCTCGCAATGTAGAATATATTTTAATGTAGAAATGGTTTGTTAACTAAATTACGTGTTCAATCACTTAGCAAAATTTAGTTTATTGTTAACAAAATGTGATTTACTGAATCACGTGTTCTACACTTTGTTTCAGTTTACGTTACCTGGTAAAGGGAAGACCCGCACCAAACGAGTGAAATTGGTCTAAATGAGCAAGCGTTATCAGCCGGTTGTGGACCTGTCGTAAATATCGTTCCCTTTCATTCCAGACCCTCTCCTCAAACAGGATCGATGTCGTCCTGGCAGATTCGAACTGCCATTAACATTGATAATTTGTGAGATAACACCTGTGACATGTAAATCTCATTATTCCAGCTGTATGACGAGAGTCTGGTAATATGTTGATTGATGCCATGAGGATATGGTGACGTGTATCAACAAGTCAGCAGCCTGACGACCCGACCCCGTTAGTCGCCACTTACCACAAGCATGGGTTGCTGAAGACTGGCTGTAACCCGGATGTTCACGGGTGATCGTAGTTGAGTCGTACAAAAGACAAAAGTTGTCTTACGATTATACGAATGGCTTTTGTCGCTGTTATTATGTAATGTATGGATTCTTGTTAAAGTGAGATATCATTTTCACAATAGTGATCTTGTGTCTAACCTTAGCTTGTGTCTAACCTTAGCTTGTGTCTAACCTTAGCTTGTGTCTAACCTTAGCTTGTGTCTAACCTTAGCTTGTGTCTAACCTTAGCTTGTGCCAAGGAGCAATGGTTGACCTTCATTCCGTGTGACTTGCGATCTCTCCAGGGGTAACTGTGTGCCCATCTGGTTTTCCTGCTGTGGTTATGAACTTGGTTCACTTCCTCCTTCTACAGGGCGTTTATAGACTGTTTAATCTCCCCGCTGTGGCGGTAGTATGTTATTTTAACGTCCTTGTTTTCAGGGGATTAACATTCTACTTCACCGAGGGTTTATTCGAACCGTGCACCTTTTACTTTTGTCTTTGGGAGTTCATTTAGGCATGTAAGGATCTTGTGTGGAGAGTTTAGTAGCGTTGGACGGTGTATGTGGGACGATGTACCTATTTGTTAATATGGTTACCGGGTGAATAATTGACATTTTGGTTTAAGCACTTCGCTTGGCGTCTGCAGGTGGGATCACTCACTCAGCCGTCTGTCAGACTAGGCAGTGGCTCGGTGTCAAACCCTTGATGCAAGGCGGAAATGCGATTAGCACAGTGCGCTTTGGATTTGAAACATATCCCTATTCTATTCTTGAAACTTATTTTTTCCAACGCTTATCGTGTGATGATTCACAAACCTTCCTTTGGCATTCTACTACATTGTAATATGTCATAGTTTCACCTGATATGTTATGTGTAATTATAGATAAAAATCCTTGCTAATATTAAGTCAATGCGGGAGTCTGTACGTGATATCGCTTTCCCCTTCACTGACAGTCATCCCCAGCTACACACGTCATAGCCACATTTAGATGTTTTCCCAAAGGGAAACAGATAGGAGTATACATGTATTTGGTTTGCATGACACGTTCAACACAAATACAATATTCTGTATTGTACGACGTTGGTTAACTAGTTTAATGCACAAACACAACAGTTCTAAGCCTTTGTAATCGTATACAGCAATATCTAAAAGGCTGCACGAAAATATCAAAGAACGTAAATGTATAGCCAAATGCACGTGCATGTTGTGACGACCATGTGCAGTGACAATGGCAATGATAACAGGTCAAACGTAAATGAACATTTTGTCTTCTTACTGGAATATACTGCCAATCGCACCATCGCCGTAGGACGTCTTAAAGCTGGAGAGTCAACAGTTGCATGTCATTTCAACGTACACGAAAGCACCATATGTCTGTGTACACGCCTCAATTCAACCCAAGATGGTCCGAGAAGCAGTCCAAGATTCACCATCCGTGCACTTGATCGCTACATCCGGGTCTTTCATCTACGCCATCGTCATGCTACTGCCACCGAGACTGCAGGATATGTGGCTGGTTGCGGAAGGTATTGTACCAAACATTCAGGAAAGGTGTGCGATAGGTGAAGATTAGACCCATACTTCAGGTATTTGTCCCTGTATAGAGATGTTTACATCGAGGACAACGTATGCGAAGACGCAGGATTTCTTATACAAGGCCAAGATAGAGGGCGTCTACTGACGTCGAAACGCACGTTTTGTCCCAAACTGCGTGCGACAAGTCGACAGATTCGGTAGTGAATGCGTAATGGTGTGGGAAGTCATATCCTACACATGGTGATGTGACTTGGTGGTAGTTCATGGGGATCTGACAACAGATCAGTACATCGTTCAAATTCTTCAACGTAAACATCCTTCCGGTTATCAACCAACAGAGCGAATTGTTTCAACATAACGTCGCT